TAGCGATCCTCTGTCTCTGGCCGCCAGACATCTGAATGCCTCGTTCACCAACTTTGGTACTGTAACCTTCCGGGAGAGAGCTGATGAAGGTGTGAGCGTTTGCAAGCTTAGCTGCTATCGTGACTTCCAATGCAGAAGCTCCTTCTCTTCCGTACGAGATGTTCTCACGGATCGTCGTTGCAAACAGAGCTGGTTCTTGTTGAACTAGACCGATGCATCTTCGCAACGATTTCAGTTTCAGTTTCTTGATGTCTTGTCCTGTAATAATTTTGGATTTAAACAAAACAAAAAAAACGGCTTACTCAATAAATAACAAATTTCTTGTGGTGCAAGAAACCTGATCAGAGTTTCTTGTGATTGAAGAAATTAAGTCAAGAGCTAGCACGCACCGTCTATCATGATTTCCCCGGTTGTAGGGTCGTAGAATCGGAGAATGAGCGAAAGGACCGAACTTTTCCCAGACCCGCTTTGTCCCACAGAGGGCCATGCTTTTTCCGGAAGGAATTTTCATGTCGAAATCGCGGAAAATAGACACATAGGGGCGTGAAGGATAGCTGAAATGGACACCTTTGAACTCAATTTTCCCTTCTACAGTACTCAGCTCCTCACCGGTATCCCCGATGACCTGAGTTCTTCGGTCCAAGAGCTCGAAAACCGATGCAACCATCTGGTTTTCTTTAAGAAGATCAGGGGCTAGAGCCAACACTTCACCCATCACTAATGCCGTTACAATCAAAACCATGAATGTTTTCATCACTGATTCGAAACTTGACAATCCTTTCCCCATCAAAATCGATCCGTACCTGTAAAAATATCAAAAGTTTCAATTTTTCCCATCTTCTATATATACTTAGTTTGTCTTGTGTAAAAACTGTTTGTATATAATACCAGAGTGCAAGGCCTTAGGAAGAGAAGATAAAGAACTGCGAAACACCGTACAAAATCCCTGCAATTTGTTCACGCCTGAAAGAACGTTTGGAAGGTTCTAAAAGCTCTTTGGAATAAAGATCTAGAACCTTATCCTCGGCACAAAAGGCGACGGTTCGAATGTTGCTAATGGACTCTCCGGCAAACATATTAGCTTTCAGATACGCTTTACTCAAGTTTCCTCCATAGCCTTGCATGAAAAGTTTCTAACAAATACAAACAAGAAAAACGTAATTAAGAACTTATGTAACGCAGTTGAATATTTTTTAGAAAAGGCGAAAAACTGCGTTTTACCTCGCTGATATGGCCGCTTATAATCAATAGATATGTTGCCAAGACAACAAGAGTGAGACGCCAGTTGAGTATAAAAGAAATGATGAAAGAGGTCACAACGAGACCAAAGTTCTCCAGTAGAATCGT